AAGGCAGACGCTTAACCATCTGAGCCACCCAGGCGCCCGTGTCTGCCTTTTCTGATGACAGTTTAGCTGAGCTGAAACTAAATTGAGTGTATGAAATACTTAATTTGGCATGGGTGGTGGAGTCTAAATTCTTCCAGAAGCATCAGAACTTCTCCCAGTCTTTATAATATTAGGGAGGATTCTTATTTCTAGATGCTCCTACCCTTTACTAAGTGACATGTATTTTTCAAAAAGCTCCTGATTTTCGGGGTGCCTGGGTGGAGTAGTCAGTTAAGTGTCTAACTCTTGGTGTTGGCTCAGGTTGTGAGATCGAGCCCAACTTTGGGCTCCATGGAGTCTGCTTAAGACTTTCTCTCCCTCTGCCCCTCCCCCATCCCCACTTGCTCTCTCTCTAAATTAAATAAATAAATCTTACAAAAAAGAAAAAAAAAAGAACCTCCTGATTTTCTCCAAAGTTATAAAATACTAGAATGCTGGACTTTTCTTTGGATAACTGGTTTCTTGGGAAATACAAAAAATATTTTATTTGTTTTTGGGCTTTTAATGACATTAATGGGAAAACCAGAGAGATTCTAAGGAAAGAAAAGAGAAAACAGCATTGAAATTAATAATTTTTTTAAAAAAGATTTTATTTATTTGATAGAGAGAGACAGCTAGAAAGGGAACACATGCAGGGGGAGTGGGGGAGGGAGAGGCAGGCTCCTGGCTGAGCAGGGAGCCCGATGTGGGGCTCAATCCCAGAACCCTGGGATCATGACCTGAGCTGAAGGTAGACGCTTAACGACTGAGCCACCCAGGCGCCCCGAAATTAATTTATTTTTATATAATTCATACATAGCAGAACTTATGAATGGTTGACGACACATTAAGTCTACCAATTTCCTTCCTAGTGTAAAGATATAAAAGGCAGAAAGAATTTTTAGATATTTTATCCTTTTGGAATATAAAAGACAGATGAAAGTGTTAGAAATCCTAACACCCTTATTTATTTGTTTTTAATTTTTTTGAATACTTTGAGTTAAAGGATACCAGTCATCCCTTGCTTCCCACTTACCATTCCCTTCACAAAGGTTTTTAAAAGAAATAAAATTTAGTTACATGATTATTAATATGGGAATTATCAGAATCTTAGTATGAGAAAGCATCCCTACAATATCATACGCTGCCAAACACAAGGTAATTGTTACTAAAACGGGAAGCTCTTCATTTAAAAATATCTCTAATATTAAAATATTAAAACTCTTATTTAAAAAGTCATCCATCCACTCATTCACTCAACCAGAAGCAGAATGCTTTGCAGAATAGAAATTGTCCCCACCCTGTATGCTCTTGGCCCTATCGGGTGGGGCCTATCTCTGGGTAGAGATGGGATAACCTTCTGACCTAGAAGGAACTTTGTTTTAGCCACTAAACTTTTTGAACAGAATGCCAATGTCATCCTATCACTATTTCATCCAAATATCCAAGGACTGTCAAACCTCTCGATCAGCAACAACAAATGCCGAAGTTCCATGGTCTAAACAGGATTTGCAACTACGAATACCAGGTATTTAGTTTAAAAATTTAAAACTGTGGAGAGGGAAGAGATAACACAGTAGCAGAATCAAAGGAATACGGCATCTAACTGGTTCTCTGGGTATTTTAAGCTGTATCTTTTTATCAAGTTAATCTCTAGAAGAAAACAAGATTTCCAGTCAAGAAACACTGGGAAAGGCAGGATGCTGGCGGTACAGTTCTCAGTCTCTACTCAAAAGATCTATCAATAGATCAATCTGTATGTGGTTCTGTGGAAAGAGAAACATTCCCCCAAGGGAAAACAAATTGCTAGGATTCATAATTCATCTACCTTTACAGAAAGTGTACCAAATACAGACATTCTTCTTATTAGTGAAAAGATCCAGAACATCAGGGAAAAGCCATGTGATGTTATGATGTGTCCTTCTGTCCCTCTCATTATACTCACTCTTGAAGGCTTCAATCTTCTATTATTATGGACTACAAGCCCTGGTACCATCTCTGTGCCACAGAATCCTGGTTTTGTACTTTTAAAATTGTGTATTTTGCTTCTATTTAATAACTGCGTTTTAAAATGAACAAATACCAGAGGACTTAAAACAATGATTCAAAAGAAAAGCTCTCTCTGATGATATGCTTTTCCCAAGATGTAGAGCAACCCTTTGAGGAATGTCAGATTTTCACCAAATACAACTGGAAAGCCACTACTTGGTTGGATTCTCTGAAGTAAGCCCAATCCTTTCTAAACACAATTAAATATACAGTAGTCTTGTCCTATCCACAGGGGCTATATTCCAAGAGCCCCAGTGGATGTCTGAAATTGTGGATAGTATTGAACCTATATATACTTTTTTCCCTCTATACATACATACCTATGATAAAGTTTAATTTATAAATTAGGCACAGGAAGAGATCAACAGTAATAATTAATAAAATAGGATGATTATAACAATATACTGTAATAAAAGTTATGTGATGTGGTCTCTCTCATAAAATATCTTACTGTACTATCCTCATCCTTCTTGTGATGATGTGTGATGATAAAATGCCTACATGATGAGATGAAGTGAGGTGAATGATGTAGTGTTAGGCTGCCCTTGACTTTCGGATAACACGTCAGGAGGAAGACCATCTGCTTGGTCTTCTTGGACTTGTGGCTGACAAGAGGTAACTGAAAGCACAGAAAGCACAACTGCAGATAAGGGGAGACTACTGTAGCAACTCTTCTACTTCCTGAAATTCTAAAAGGCAAAATTCATGAAGATAGCTATGAAAAGGTAGGTTTCTTTCAATAGTGTTTCTTCTTGACATATAAATATATTTAGTTACATGTCCTTTCCCTTGTGTCCCAGGCCTCCTTCTCTCTTTCTCTCATTCTGTGACTCTCACTCCTTGCCTTCTAGACAGAGCATACTATGGAGGTCAGTGTTGTGGGAAAATACAGACTGAGAAATCACAAAAACGAAAGTTTACATCATTTGATAAAAAAAAGTAATACTTTACCAAATGGAAAATTCCATCAAATGAAATGACACTCCAATCAGATGACTTACCTAAAAATAAGAGAGACAGAAGAAAGTGAGAACCTGGTATCATACTCAATTCTTGATATAATAGATTCCAAAAAAACATGGCAACTTCTTAACAACTATGGATGATCCAAAACAAACAGAAACAGGGCAGGAAACACCAATTCCTTCAGAAACAGTAATTAATATTAGAAAGGAAATGGCAAACAGGGAGCAAAAGCAATGAGGAACGGAAGTGGTATTTACTTTCAAATCACTTGATTCTCATATATATTTTTAACAGGCCAGTTTTGAAAATGTGGACACATATGTGTATAAAGGGTATAGCTAATCGGTGGCAGTGTATGCATACCACTTTCCCAAGACCTCTGGCTACTGTCTTAAAGAGACTGTCAAAGCCTCAAACTCTCAAATATCTTCACCTCATATGACTCAAGAAAAAGGTGCCACTGTATTAAGTGCTACTGTAATTTCCTCTGTTGATTTTTTTCCCCCTTAACACTTAAATGTTTTGGCTGTTCGCTGTTTTATTTTCCAAAGTGAACACTGATATTCATGAAAGGTGCCAGATTAACAACCAGGGGAAATTAAGAGCTTGTTCTATCAAGAGGAATGGCTCAGTGTAGTGGAGGTGATGAAAGTTTCTCCTATACTGTGCTTGCCTATATACCTTAGCTCTGACCCACAGTCACCCCAGCTCTCCAGTTTTCATGGTCCATTAATGCCTTTGACTGCTCAGGTTGCTAACATGGGCAAGCAGTCTTGTTCTTGCTTTTAATGCTATCAATATTATTACTACTATTGTGAGCTCTAGCTTCCTCACAGAAATTATGTGGAAATTTATATTAGCCATCAGTTTGTTTCAGGACAACAGGAGAATAAACTGAACTGAAGATGAATCATATATTCTTAAGTAATATTGCAGGTTTCATTAAAATCCATTAATTTCTTTAAACAGGAGGCAAAGTGTTAAGTGGTCAACTTGAAACAGGCCTTGCTTAATACAGCCCCTGCACTCAATCTGAATTCTCATTTAGGGACATTCAATATTTAATAGCCATAGATCTTTCATTTTTCCTTTTGAGTCTTCCTTAAGTCAGTCAATGTTATTATTCATTAGCAACTATGGTAAAAGTCTGGTAGATGCTGAAGCTAAAACCAACATAAATGAGATCTGAAAATCACTGTCAATCAAACAGAAAAATATCTCTTTCCTGTATTTATATAGGTATTCCAGGTTTCTGAAAGGCCTGGGTACTTTGTAATTCTTAATCATTAATCAGTCTCTCCTATGCTCAGGGATCTATGAAATCATTTTGCTTCAACTAGGCAGATACCCAACAACTATTTAGTGTTGGCATTTCCTTTCTGTGCCCAAGCAAGATAGCAATCCTTCTCCTATCTAGAATTTATAACAATAAGGGAAGTAAAGCTAGAAAACACATGTTTAATATTAATGGAACAATGAAGTACGACACTGAATACTGCTAACTGACTAATAATTACTCAGTAATTATTTGGAAAGATCACAATATCAGTCTCACAATTGTTCCCTGTCTTTGCTATTGTACTTCTTTCTGACAAAGACCAAAGTCTCTGCAGCTAGAGTAAATTTCCATCTTGAAATGGCTAGCACTTCCTGTAATTTCTAATCTCTAGAAGTGTTGGAGAATGAGAATTGCAGGGTACCAATGACTGCAGCAACACATGGTAACAATTAGATGAAGGGTGCCCTGGCTGCATCTCACATGGAAATCTTGGAAAATTTTAGTTTGGGAACTTTGGCTGTTTTTTTCTTTGCCATGCACAGCCTTTATCAAGTGAGTCCTTATGGTATTAAAACATTTGGCACTGGCTCAAGTCTATGCTGTTGCTGGCAGGGGATCTAATTGGGAAGCAGGGGTGGAGTAGTTACCTTTATCAGGAAAGACCTTAACTTTATGGAAAGGCTCTTTCCTCCCCACTGCTTAAGCAGCTTTACTGAAAGACTTAAACCCAGATGTGAGAACAGAGATTATCTTCAAGAGCAGCAGTGATTTATTGTAATTATGTTAGTGCAAAGATTGAGAAGGTGGGAAATATTATGCTAACTTAGTAGATGAGAAGGGCAACACTCTTTATATAGGTCCCATGGCCAGGTTGTGCTGGGGAAACCAACTCCAACCCCTAATTGCCAGGGAGGCCTCAGTTTCCCAAATTGCAAGAAAATTAGAGCGTCACTACCTAGAAAACTAATAATCCCATGCTATACAATAACCAGTGAGTGAGAGGCCATGAGAATCTGCTCACCAACAGATACCAACAGACTTTTGCCTCTACTCTGTCAGTGGCCAGCTCTTGCCAGTTTCCTGTTATCACCAGATGATAATCTATCTTTTTGAGATAATATATCTTTCCCAATGATTCCTGTCAGTCCTATAGTATAATTTATAACAATGACTATCAGCAAACAGGCCCACTTTGCCTATACAACACTCTAGCTTCCATCAGTGAAGTACTTGTCTGATTTAAAGTACTTTGAAGGTTGGTCTTGAATTGCAAATATAGCAATACCTGTATACATTCTGGGCCAATTCTAGGCTTTTCTGTGCCTTAGCCACCCAACTGAAAGTATATTTTGTCATTAATTAATTCCCTTCTTCATTGCCTAATGGATTTCTTACTGATTTCTCCTAACTGGACTACTGCATCCTTCGTCATCTGGTTTCTCTCACTGTACTATCTTTTTGAGGTGGGGGATGTATAAGCATGGGTTTCCAGAATTTGGTATTTCATACAAAATGGATCAGTGAACATGGTAAAAATTGCTTTTGTGGACACGCCACTAAGGCTGTGTTCTACATGGTTTTCTTGTCAGTTGAAAATTTTAAGCAATATGATATTCTGATCTCATAAATAAAAGATAAAAAGGTTAAATCTGAGAGACTCAAATCATTGACTCAAGTGGTCATGAAGAGAAAAGAAGAAAGTAATAAAGGCCTTTGGAACAGAAAATGACAGGTGATTTTTCCTTTTCTTCCCATTTCAAACATCTGACAATAGGCTAATGAATACCAAGGACACAAGAAACATACAAGTCAGGGAAATTATAGGCCACAAGATGGTATACATCTCATATAAAAAACACCAGCTAAGGCACTAAGAAAGCCAGTAAATAAATACTGAAAGAATTATGAAGATGAATACGCTCAGATTTTGGATAAAGAGTAGGCAAAACAAGACCAAAGAAAAATACTTTAAAAATCAGTTTTCATTTTTTGGGGTGGGGGAGGGGAGGCAGAGGGGAAAGGGAGAGAGAGAAGCCTAAGCAGTTTCCACACCCAGCATGGAGCCCTATGCAGGGCTTGATATCACATGATCTCACCGTGAGATCATGACCTGAGCTGAAATCAAGAGTCAGATGCCTAACGGACTGAGCCACCCAGGTGCCCCCCAAAATCAGGTTTCTTTAAAAAAAAAAATCCCTCACAATACACAGTAGAGATAGCTCAATTGTAAGAGCTTGCAGGGGTTTAGTAATCCGACAGTTCAAGACAATGCATCATGGTCTACCTATCAAGAATGATTGCTTACTTTGACTGACATGGTACAATTATTAATTTGGTTATCTGATTGAATACAGAGTCAGGAACATTTGCTCTTAGCTTTAATTTCTTAACTAAAGCAGCAAATTCTAGGAGTCACTATGCTGAGGGCTGAGTGCATCCCAAGTTGGAATTTTCTTGGGAAGAGAAGATATAAGATAAACAAGCTGGATTCTCATCATTCCAAAGCTGAGTTTTAATAATATAAAAAGGGTAAAGCTAAAACGTCTGGGATTTGAATGATGGATTCCATGACTACATAGAGAAAAAAAAATTTTTTTTAAAGGAGCCTTTAGGGCACAAAATTACAGATGATCACCTCATGAAAAGGGGTGAAAAGTGGGACTCAAATTTATCCCCTCAGTGGGTAGTAGTAACGATTATGGGGAAGGAGGAAAGCAGTGTGCTGGTGAAGTACATAACAGTGCCAATAACAAAGAAACTTAGGGGGGCGCCTGGGTGGCTCAGTCGTTGGGCGTCTGCCTTCGGCTCAGGTCATGATCCCGGGGTCCTGGGATCGAGCTCCACATCGGGCTCTCTGCTCCGCGGGAAGCCTGCTTCTCCCTCTCCCACTCCCCCTGCTTGTGTTCCCTCTCTCGCTGTGGGTCTCTGTCTGTCAAATAAATAAATAAAATCTTAAAAAACAAACAAACAAACACAAAACTTAGGGATTATTTAAGAAATGACTTACACAAAGAAAACAATTCCAAGACAACAAAAAATTTAAATAAGAGCCAAAGAACAGATGAGGGCTCAGGGAGAGATTAGTTTGGGTTAGTTTCTGAAGTTACTTCAACAGGGCCAGTGGAACTGGAGCCAGTCTCTCTTACTGCCCCTACCCCTCAATTTCCCAGATACACCTGCATTCCACACAGTTGATAACTATGACAAATGATTTCACCCATACAGCTATGGCTGAGGGCTTTCTGACCTATGGCCTTAGGTCTTTTTAGAACCCAGTAACTTTGCCTCCCTCTTTTCTGTAAAACTTCAACTCTATTTCATTTCAGTTTGCTTTTCTCTTTTCTACTATTCTTCATTCTTGTTCTGATATATAAGGGTTGAAAAAGCAGTAGCGGAGGTGGCAGTGAATGAGACACAGCTGGCCTATGGCAAAGGGACTGTGAGTAGGAAGCAGCTGTATTTTGGAGGCAAGTAGAACAAAGGATTAGGATCTTCAAAGCCAAGGAAACCTTCTCTCTGTGTTTTTCCCTCCTTTTCCCTCTTTCCCTTCTTGGGAAATGATAGAAATTTCACAAAACACATAGCCTTTCTGAATTCATAACAGTCTCCTTTTTCTCACATCCAAGGGTGTTTAATTTATTACTACTGCTAACATTTTACATGTACCTTGTTTTTATATTTTTCTCCTAAGAGCTTCAAAGAGGTTTATAGGGCGCCTGGGTGGCTCAGTTGGTTAATGACTGCCTTCGGCTCAGG